TAGTGGTGTCTGTTCTCCAGCCAAGGGGGGTCGAGGGGGTTATGGAGTATGTGTAGTCGATTGTTAGATGCGTGTAACATCAGTCACTAAGTGCCAGTGGTAGCGTTACCTTTGTTTGTGCGCTAGTGAGTTAGGGTAGGCAAACAGCAAAGACAAAGTAGAAGGGAAAACATAAAAATAAAACTGTGTGTAAAACAAAATAGACTCTAACTGTGAGCTACTCAATTGGTAATTATGGTGGAGGTTATTGTTCCCTTGGAACATTCATCTTCTGTTACCTCCTGCAATTGGTCTGGTGGATGAAGCTTTTTGGTTTCCTCTCGGGGTGAATTCCTTGATGATTGCTGGGTTCAGCCGGGACAGGTCTGTTTCATGTGGCTGTGCGGACTGCATTATGCCCACAGTTTTCAATTGCGCTTCTAGCTCCTGGCATCCTTGTGCTCTATAAGAAGTCCCGTTGTATGTGTAATGTACTGCTCTCCGTGTTGCCAATTTGTAGGGGATTTCTTTGTCCCGGAGGTGTTGTAGGAGTGGCTGCTGTGTCTTCCGCCAGGTGAGGGTACTCTTGGTGAGGTCTGGGAAGACCATTAATAAGGAGCCCTCAAACAGTATGGGGCTTTTCCCCCGCATTGCCGTTAGGAGTGAGGCCTTATCTGAGAGAGTTTGAAATCAGAGGATGAGGTCTGCAGTCGCCGACGCTGGTGCTCTAGTGGGTTTTGGCAGTCGAAACATCCCATCCAATTTCAGGGCTTTTACCTGCTTTGGCAGGAGCAGGACTCAGATGAAGCGCCTAATATAGTGGGGTAGGTCTGCATTGTCAACCGATTCAGGTATCCCCCTGACTCTTAGGTTGTAGCGTCTTCTTGTCGTGTGTGCTTGAGTTTGCCTCCAGCTATGGGATTTTCTTTGCGGCTCCTTCGATAGCCTCTTTATAGCAGGCCATGTCTGCCGTCAGATCTTTGCGGATCTCCACCAGCATTATTTTTAGTTGGTCCACAGTGACCGGGTCCCCAGTTTTCTGTGGTTCTAGTCTACAGGCTGGTGGGAGCCCAAGGGATGTTTCCCCCAAGAGGTCCGATGTAAACTCCTCCGAGGAGTATGAGGAGAGGTCAGTGGCCAGTGCCATTATGGACCACGCGGCCTGCTGTGAGTTCCTCAGCATGTATCCTATGTCTCTGCCATCTGAGCTTTTTTTGTTTTGCGGCCCATAGTTCATGTGCCGGCCTTGATGAGGTTTGTGGGGTCTTTGAGCCTCGGTTTCCACCATAAAGAGTCTCGTTAAAGCGAGTTAGTGTCGTAGCTACGAGAAGTGCGACCGCTCCATTGCCCTGCAGGCTCCACCCCTCCACTTTCTTCACTTTTAATGTGTGTATTTCATTTTGACAGAATAAACTAATCAGGCATGCAGAGTGACATTTATCACACTTCATATGTATTTTTCACACTCCATATAGTCCATGAGTCTCTATGGAGCACAGTATATCCAGTTCCATGTCTTCATAAGGATATAATTATTTTAGATAGCATTTAGAAACCATACCAAGGCAGGCCTCATATGCCAGTGATAGTCATAAACTTTTGCATTTTATGAACATTTTTGCTAGTAGTGTAGATAATGAATTCACCTTAATGTGGAACTGTCACTTCTCTGGAACTTATAACATTGAATAAAACATTTTTTAAAAATCGCCTATAATTAGTGTCAACATTTTAAAATTTCTTTTATATTAAAAATTTAGCAAAGCACGTCATAATTCAGTTCTGACAAGACAAAGCAGGACAGACATTTAAAATGAAGAGGAGATATAAAAACATTTAGCTTTCTCCTTCCACTCTATGCTTTCGCTCTTCTGATTACCACAACCAGGCGCAAGGGGCATGTTTTAACAGTGATTGAAAGGGAGCTAAGACGGAGGCACCCAATTGCAAGATAAACATATGTGGATATCTACATTTAGATTTCTTTTTAATAACTCGCAAATACATATTTGTTAAATATATAGATAACTTAATATGATATTAAAAAATTTGGAAAACTTAACCGTTCCTCTTTCCATATTTTAAAAATATTTCCACATATATCTTCCAAAAATTTACAGAAATCATATATAGTTACTACGAAAGTCAAACTGTTCATATCCTGGATTATCAAAAAATTATCTGGAACCATATGGACTGCTAAATCTCAAATGCAAAATTTACCAACACAGTCTCTAAATAAGATAGAATATTGACCAGATTTTAGGTTGACTTGATATAATGGAATGATGAAATTTGAAAAGGACTAATGGAAATTCCCAATCAAATGCTGTTGGGCATGTTGACAATACTGAGCAAGAACTATGAAGCATTAACTAATATCCAGAATGCAATGTAACAAGGACATTGGAAGCTATGATGATGGTCACTTATTCCATAAAATGTAGATGTGATGTGAAACAATGCTCACAAACTTTAAGACAAAGACTTTAAAAATACAGATTCTTAAGCCATAAATTTGGGAGATCTCATTAGTCTGAGATAGGAGGACTTTGTGCTTTAGGGTGCACACTCTTATGCAATAGACTGCGTAGGCCTATGAGAATAGACCAGTAAAAATGTAGCACTGGCAAGTAGAAGTGTTCGATTTGTCCTCCATGCTTGCAGTGGCAAGTTCATTTTAAGGCATAGCTAGTTACATAGGACTTGATATTTTAAATCTATTACTGTACTAATATTAAATTCATAATATTTGAAGATTAATTTCTTTGGCAAATTTGCCATCTGCTACTGTAACCAAATTTTGCTATTCAGAAAAGCATTTCTACTTTAGTGAATAACCCTGTTGGAAAAAATGTAGTCCCACAATCAGGACAAATACCCGAATCCATTTTAAAGTATTTTTATTTGCACATACGTTATTGTAAAGAAAATTGTGCTTTCTCCCCCAATATTTTACATTGTATGAACGATAAAAATAATTTAATAAGATTGGATTCAACCTTATCCACCATCTCTTACCTTGTTTGGTTCTAAACTCCAAAACAATTTTAAGATGAATCGGCTGGAAACACACAACCATAAAGGCTGATTAAAAAAATATTTCATATGTGGCAGCCATTTATTAATTCTTTAGACCACTCCATGAAACAGAAAATCCAAAATACTTTTAAAAACACAAATTGGTACTTACATTAAATATGATTAATAAAACACCTATTGATTTATAATTGCTCCAAGACCAGGGTCCACCATCCAAATTCTCCTGTCTTCTCCTTAGGAGACCAACACCCCTATTCTCTTGTATAACTCCTTATCCAGATATCATTGCATATGGCTACTACTAATAATGTGTCCCCTAGTGTTAGTGTTAGGGTCAGGTCTGGAAACCCTTACTCTGCCATGGACTTACGCACTAACAAATTTCTGCTTCCCTTTGTCTCTGTAATCAGCTGCTGGGAATACTCAAGGAAGTCACACCATTTCACATGTATTATCAATAAGCATTCAAAGGTTTAATGTGTAATACATTGTATATATAAAACACAGTTTGTCTAGGGGTGTATACATAAACAGAAACATTAACCAATCATGGAAGTCTCAGAACCGAAAGTATAACTTTTCATATAACATTGTGTTATGCTGTTAGTTAGTCTCCTGTTCAATGATGCATGTGACAGTCTTAGATTTAGGAACCCAATTAAGAATCGCAGGTATTAGAAAGAATGCTATTTTTTTCAAGTGCGGGATGTTTATAAAAGATAGTGAAAGCTGGTGTCAGGCGCAAGAACATAAGAACAGAAAAATATTGTATGTTTAAAAAAATGCGAGTTTAACCCTTTCAAAGCACGAGTATCTTGTATTATAATCAGGCCTACTGTCCATTCGGTCTTTCAAGCTACATTAAAACTTTAGCTACAGAAATAGATAGCAGGACATGAGACTGACACCCTGTAACATAAAATACATAGCTCTGTATGGCTAGGGGAATATTCACTATGCATTGTGTAGGTAAAACAATTTGTTTTCCAACTCCCAGGCTTAAGGCAAAGGCATTTAGGCAACTTAATGTTCTTTGTAGTTTTGTACAGGTTCATTGATTGGATTCATGCATGTTCTTCTTCTCTACATTTATGGACTGATGCTCCCTGTTTGCTTTATCCATTTTGGATGTTAATACTTGCTATATTTTTTTTTATTTCCACATCCTTTATTGTTAAACATTTGGTCAATCCTGAAAACACAATAACATTGCTCGTTTGAAAAAATAAAGTAAAAAAATATGTAAGCAAAGGTGGCAGCCTGTAGTTGTGGGAGGAGTTTATGTAGCTATTTAACAGACCCTCTCAGTTTTCCATCACCCGTTTGGTGTGGCAAACATTGGCCCCACCCTCCTCTACCTTCTGTTCAATCACATCTTATAATTGTAAGACTAGGTAAGCAATACTTTCGTTCACAACCAGCTTTCACCACCTCATGTGCATAGAGTTCCATTGAATGCAGCAATAATCTCTTTTCATCTCTCTGTTAGAATGTAGACTGTCCTTGAGGAATACCATCAGTAAATATTTATTTGACTTTTTTTTTTTTGCATTTGTGGAAGCAAAAGTTTTGAAATGAGCTTCTGTGCTTTGAAGCGCTTGACCGTTTTTTTTTTTCCAAATTCCACCCAGGTTCTCTTTTATAACTTGCTGTTGTCATTGAATTTTTTTTCAATTAATTACCTTTATAGTGAAGATTCTTTTTATGTAAGGACTCCTTCACTGTATGAAACTGTCCATGTTTAGTCAAGATGCATATTTGTTATCATTTCCTTGTAACTTAGCTATGTCGGGTTAAGCATATTCATAGAATTGTTTTAACATACATATCAGCGCTGCCAAATTTGTTGGCGCTTCATAAATAATATGTTATTATTATTATTTATAAAGCGCCAACAAATGCCGTAGCGCTGTACAATGGGTTGACTAACAGGCACGTATTTGTAACCAGACAAGTTGGACACACAGGAACAGAGTGGTTGAGGGCCCTGCTCAATGAGCTTACATGCTATAGGGAGTGGGGTATATTGACACAAAAGGTAAGGGTAGAAAAGTAGGTTGCTAGGATACTATTCATCGAGGGCCAGTTGCAGAAGAGGAATCAGAGTGCGGGGAGAGAAAGCTATTCACAGTTTAATTGATATGTTCTGCCTCAGACAAATAGTACAGTGGTGACATCCACAGCTGAAAACTGGAACTGCAATCAGCCATGTATGATAGTAAAGTAATTTGTCATTTCATTTGTCATGGATTGCAAAACACATGACAAAGCAAACATGGCACTAGGAATTCAGCATTCAGGGAATGGTAACGATTCTGTATCTTCAAGAGTTCCTGCCATGTACACCGACTTAAGCTGTATTGAAAGAGTGTGAAAATAATATATTATCTATAAATTGTGCCAGCAAATATGCAAGTAAGTAAGATTTTGAGAAACTTTCAATTAAAAATATGGTCTCTCGGACCTGTAATGCCAAGGAATGAAAAACAGGGGTGAGCAGGAGAATCCTCCCACTGGTGGTTATCATGCTCTCCGTCACAAATATTTTCTTGTTGGGGTAATATTTACAGTGATTAGTTTCACTTTGTTTCACATTGCATTGGGTTTGTTAGAAAGGTTTGCCCTGCTTAGGAAAGTTTCACTAAGCATGGTCAATAACTTTACACAGGTTGAGAGTCAGGTGGGCCTGGAGGGCAGATGTTTATTGAAAGACCCACATACCTCTGATTATCTTTTTGATAAACATGTATTCCTTTAGGAGGAGTTATACTATAAAAAAAACTCGAAGCACCTTAATTACAGCATACTGTTCTGGTTATGGTGCCAGGAGTGCCCTAGCTCTCCTCCAGTGTACGTATTCAAGTAATTTAATTTTAGAACGGCCATTGAGCACTGCTCATTGGACACTGCTCCCTGCCTCTCTTGCAGCTTTCAGTAGTTGGAAGATCTCTGAGACAAGTCCAGAAATGGTTTAACTAGGGAGCACTTATTGAATCTCCTTAGCAACGCCTACGTGGTGACAATCAGAATTGCTGATTTTTAGCCAGTCCAATGCTTTCCCATGGGGAAAGCATTGGATTGGCTAAAATCAACAAGGGGGCGGGGCTAAACGACATTGTGGCCAATCAGCACCTCCTCATAGAGATGCATTGAATCAATGCATCTCTATGAGGAAAATTCAGAGTCTCCATGCAGAGAGAGGGGACGCTGAACGGCAGAGCTGCCTACTGTGCATGAAGCTGTAGTTGTTCTGGTGACTATAGTGTCCCTTTAAGGTGCTTGTCAACATATGTAAAAAGATACAAAATGAAAGATAATAATGCAGACTGGTTTTATCAGGAAGATAAAACTCTCAATAATGGAAATTGGAATTGCACTCACATTTCATAGAGCTTAAACTAGCAAGTAAATATATAAAACTCTGAAGGCCAGTGTCTTGGCGTACAGATGGTTATATAAAAAAAAAAAAACAGATATACAATAGTGCTCATTGTAAGTACAATTTATATAAAAAATAAATGAATGCATTTTACTGCGCATGGGTGGTATAATCCTGCCCAATAATATGGTTCGGAGTAGTTGTCCAAAATTTAAGGTGGATATGCCAGGAACAAATGAAATGGTTGAAAACTATTAAAAAAGCATAACAAGTGTAATAAATGTGCTCACAGATATAAGTAAAAAACAAATATACAAAAAAACAAAACCACAACAAAACCCGTTTCACCAATAAAAGGCCTTTTCCCAGTGTAAACAGATTGACCTGGCACATAAGGGTATATATAGAGGTATTTTAATTTTAAGTGACAAAATGAAGTCCATTGACCTCTGGCCTATATAAGGTTCAGTTGTTCTTTTAGCACTTATCCCTGCCTATATTTTATTACTGCTTCTTCTAGCGCTTATCCCTACCTGTGTTTAACAGAGGAGGATGGTTGCAGACTGGAGAGTTCTGGGGGTGTAACTAGCCCTTAGCATACAGTTAAAAAATACCTCTGTATATGTAGTGTTTTAAGTAGAAACACTGCACACATAAATGCTCCTATCACCATAACCACTTTAAATCACTAAAGTGGTAATGGTGGTTGGAGTAACCCATTGAGGCAGTTGGCACACACTTGGAGACCAGCTAGACAGTCATTTTCCCCTGAATTGTTAGTATGGAGTTTAAATGACAGTTTGTCTTCACAGTAGTATTCATCTCCTCTATAACATATTTGCTTAGACCACTGTCTTCTAACCAACTGGAAGCATGCATATTTCATATCATAGGAGACAGTTATAGACAGACATAGAGAAGCCAACTGAAACCAATAAGTGTGAAAAGGAGCTCCATTTTATTAAGAAAGCTACACCAACCCTAAATTTGTGTTCTTCAAAAACAACCACAAAAAACAAAACAAAAACAAATATAGATATTGAAATACCCAAGTGTAAAAAGTCATATGCTTATCTAAAGAATGTTATGAATTGTAATAAAGTTAAAAAGAAAGAAAACAAAAAAAAAACCAACAAAAAATAGTAGGTATTATGAATGTATGTATATATGATAATGAAATTATGTAAGTGTAACAACATACAAAAAAAGGTCAGTGTTTTAAAATAATGTCAATTACTTTAAAGCACCTATTTTTTTCCACTAGGTGTAGAGGAGTAATTGCTGAGGAAACGCTTGCTTTATGCCAAATAAGGAATGTGCTGTCCAATCCAGAGAATTCTTTCTGCGAGACAATACAAGAACCATGGTCCACATTGTTTGAAGATTGTTTGATAAAGGAGGATTAGGATTGAACAGTCTGCACGGTCTCTTGTCTTCAGCAGGCCATTTAATATTTGTATAAATGCAGACTATATGCAGTCTCCTAAATCTTAATCTGAAAGTGTTATATATAAAAATGGCATATTCAGAAGACTGTTAATAATCCTCTCCCAAGGAAACATAACACAAAACAGGGAGTACTGGTTCATTTAGAGTTAGTATAATTATTCTGTCTCTGAAATACATAGTATAAAAGCTGTGCCAGTTAAATAATTTCAGTCTAAAACAATGTGGGATGGATAATCATGGATGCCCAAATCAATTCAAAGTATTCGTCCACAAAGCTTAGTTATAGGGGTCCACTAGTGCAACCCAAATTTATTGAAAGTATAGACGCTTCGGGACTCCTGTCCCTCAATCAATGATAAGTACCCTAATGGAGGGCATTTATCATTGATAAAGGGACAGGGGTCCCGAAATTTCTGTACTTTGAATGTACACCCTCCTTTCTAAAAAATATTCTGCACTTGCGCGAAAACTGGTGGGCGGTAAGGAACTTTTCCATCAAGAAAGATGCATTAGTGGGCGGTAGGTAGAAAAGGGTTGACTACCACTGATCTAGACCAATTTCTTTGAGTTTGAACACTAACCTGTAGTGTGGGACCATATCAAACACGTTGGCAAAATCCAAGTAGTTCACATCAACTGCAACGCCCTGATCTATACTTCTACTAACTTCGCAGAATGCAATTAAGTTAGTTTGACATGACCGGTTTCATAAAACCATGCTGATTTTTGCTGAAAGCCATGTTCTTCTCAATGAATTCCTGAATATTATTACTTAATAACCTTGCAAATACTTTCCCAGCTACAGAAGTTAAACTCACAGGTCTTTAATTTTGAGGTAAGGATTTTGAACCCTTCTTGAATATTGGATCCACATCTGCCTCCCTCCACTCCTCCAGTACAATTCCTGAGAGAAAAGAATATTGAACGATTAAAAACAGAGGTTCACTTATTTCCATACTTAGTTCCTTAAGTACTCATAGGTGAATACTGTCAGGCCCTGGAACTGTGTTTAAAATAACTTTCTTTAGTTGCTGTAGCACCTTACTTACTAGTCTTATTACACATTTTCCTTTGATGAAAGGTGAAAGTGAATTTATTTCCACAATATTTTATCCTATTATTTCAAAAGCCTATCTTCCCCTAGGCAGCAACAAATACTAAAAGTTATGACTGGATATTACAAAGAAGTGCTCAAAAGAACACAGCAAGGACATTTATTTCCAACTCACTCACCTAATCATATCAAAAAGTATAGCTGCACTCACGGTCTTGTCGTAACAGGTATTCCTTTATTCCAAGTACATAAGCTCCAGATAGATTGACGTTTCAGTCCACACAGGGACTTTCATCAGGATACAAGATACTGGTGTGTGTGTATACATACCGTATATACTCGAGTATAAGCCGAGGCAACTAATTTTACCACAAAAAACTGGGAAAACGTATTGACTCGAGTATAAGCCTAGGGTGCGAAATGCAGCAGCTACTGGTAAATTTCTAAATAAAATTAGATCCCAATAAAATTACATTAATTGAATATTTATTTACAGTGTGTGTATATAATGAATGCAGAGTGTGTGTGTTTGTGTAGTGTGTGTATATAATGAATGGAGAATGTGTGTGTATATATAATGAAATTCACTTTGAGATTTCTTTTCATTCAGAACCATTTCTACTTTGGTGAATACCTCTGTATTTCTATACTTTGAGAAACATTGATAAGACTAAGGTGTTTAATCACTAAACAAACCTTTTTAGTGAAATCACACAACAAGAAATATGCTCCAATTGCAGTAAACCGTTCCAGATTTATTGTTTTAATGTATAATTTTCTTTTTCACAGTAACTCCCTCTGCACCCTGCCTGATATTGTTTCTGGCAAGCTGAGTGGTTGTCAATGTCAGACATTGAGTAAATGAGAACTAAAACCCCAGACAATGTTGGGGGCAACAACTACCCTTTTTAGGAAATCACTAGTGCAACTGGTCACTTATGCATAGGAAAACTAAACCTCTCCTTTTAACTAAGAATGCTCATAAAAAAAAATAAAAAAAAATACATCCTTCAAAACAGCCTTTATCTTTTATGTTTTAATTCAACCATGCAATGTACACCAATATTCTCAGATTTATACTTGAGGTTCCTGGTTTGCTCTCATCTCTAGGCAAGAGAAGATGCTTAAGAAAACACAGGGGGGCAGCGGAGGCGGCAGCAAGCGCTTACTTACCTTTGCAGCAGCTCCGGTCATCTCCCCAGTGTAAATCTTGCGGTCTGCGTGCCGCGCGGAGCGTTACCACGGGTCTCTCGAGATTTACACTGGGGAGATGACCGGAGCTGCTGCAAAGGTAAGTAAGCGCTTGCTGCGGGCCCCCAACAGGACTGCTGGGCTTGTAATGAACCCGGCGGTCCTGGTCTGTATTATGGCAGTGTAAGTTGCCATAACTTAC